GTGGGAAAACCACCTAAAGCTTGGTTTTTGCTTGACGCATTCACTTTCCGCTTGGTGATGCGGCACGCGGACGGAACGCGCTGCACAACTTGCAGCGTTTATAGGTTCATGCGGCTTGTCTCTGCAGTGAGCTAATATTCTCCCAAACTATAGGGGGCAGCATAGAGCTCTACGGCATGCATCCAACACTACACCATAGTAGAAGTAAAAATTACTGTTGTTTACAACATGTCATTCCAGCATGTTTTAACAGCGTCCTCGTCTTTTCCGACAGTGCGAGCTATTTCTCTCCAAGAATTATTAACAACGTGTTGATCGCGGTGATCTTTGAGAGCTGAATCATACAAATGTCTGTATTTACGAACCTCTGCCATACTAGTTCTTGCCAGTCCGCCATGTTTTTCCGCGTCCGACCGTCCGCATGGTTAGAAAATTTCCTAGGTGCGCGGTGCGGAAATTTTGGGCCGTGCGGAGGCGCTGTGGAGGGGCGTGGTTGTTAAAATGACGCAACCTCGCAGATGCGTCAAGCATAAACCAACATTAACCTAGGGGAGTTTGCAGTGGCACTGCACCTGAGACTCCGCACACTGGAGTGGGAACACCACCTGCCGAAGGGGGAGTTGATGGTGGCACCGAGACTCCAGCTGAAGCCCAGTACCTTGCGGTGGGGATGCCACCTGCCGAAGGGGGGGGGGGGGGGGGGCTGACAACATCACTGACCCTACTCCTACAGCTGGTGCTAGTGACCTCTAGACCTGACGTTGGTGACTCGCCTACCACAGGGGGAAGGTTGAATGCCACCCTGTGACCACACTGGCTGACCCTGATCTCTGACTGCACCTGCGAGTTGTAACGTCAATAAACCATTACGCTACAGCGTCGACCGAGGGCCCTCCAGAGAACACACCTGCGCCAGACACGTTCTGAGACATTGCATTCACCCGCAAACAAACACTTCATATTAGATTCATCCAAACACAGGGTTGCTTTTTTAATACCAAAGTCTTTTTAATATCAGTCTTTTATAAATTGTCATGTTTTATAATTGTTTAGTAATAAATGTGTTAACCTTCTTAAACTTGACTCTTTCTTGAAATAAACACAGAGTGGGTGTACATTGATCACTGAACAGGCAAAGATCTTTAGATCTTCTGAATTAACAAATAATCTTTGCTATTAAATTAAATCTTTAAAAATAAATATTATAATCTTTTGATTAAACATAGACCAAGCAAGTTGGTGTATGAATTTATATCTATTATATTTATATATCCATATATAATCTCATTCGTCAATTTGTTTGAGCTTAGGAATTAAAATATAAGCTGATAGCAACAGCCTTTAATTCCTATGTTTAGGTCATTAACCCTACAGTAACATTGAATCTTCTCTGGTTTCGGTGTTTAACTGGCTTATGCAACATGTGGTGATCTCTCCTCACATCAGCATGGAGCCATAAAACTCTTCCAGACAGAACATCACTTTATTTAGAAGTAGGGAATATAAAAACATATATGGAGTAAACTAAGGAAAGATGGGCAAAGCGGGCAGATCTAAAGGCTCCTTATGCTAAATAAATGGGACTTGTGGTAAAGCTAGTTTGTGCTGACACGCAGCGGTCAGGGTTGTACAACAGCTCTTATCTATAGAGGGGAAGCCAACATACTCACACTGCTTGTAAACTTCATTGACATTTGAGAAATCATTGATGTCAGCGAGAAGCACGGTGGTTTTAACAACTGCCAGAAATAAAAGTAAACTGCATGAAGAACATCTGCAGAACAATGGCTTCTACACAGAGGATCGCCTCACTGTTCTCATAAGTGCATCCAGCCACCCTGTACCACACATATATATATACATATATATATATACATATATGTATACATATATATATATATATATATATATATGTGTGTGTGTGTGTATATATATGTGTGTGTGTGTATATATATATAAACATATACATACCAGCAGCAGAAAAAAAATGCAACACTTCTAGCAGATTAAGTCTGGTGGGAATTTGCCAACATTTCTGCCAAAATATCATATTACTCAAAATTAACAGATATATAAGGATAAAATGAGTTTTGCACAAAACAATGTTTCATGTGAAAGACTGGAGCCATTTCAAAAGTGCAGCAATCCACTTTGGGCTTGGCTGCGCTTTGTCTAGCAGTTTGCCTATCAATCCTTTGAGATTTAATCAGTTATTTCCATAAAATGAGGAAGTTCAGGCAACTTGCTACCACAAATAACTACACAAAAACACCTCAAGTGGCTGAAAAATAATTCTTCTACTTTCAGAATAAGAAAAAATTCAACTCAAACTACAGTGGAGTATAACAGGATGCATAATTTTACCAACATTCTCCCAGATCCAATTGAGTCATCAGATTTTCACCTTTAAAATCAGCTCCTTGCGTTCATTTAATCCAATAGAAAATTGAATTCAAGCTTATCCAAAGTAAAAATAACACCAACATGTTTATAATTGTCCAAATAAGGGTTTTAAAGAATTTTATTGAATCCCAAAATCACCTTAAGTTCCAGTCCCTTGTGGTTTCCAAAAAAAAAAACAAAGACTTTGGATTTTAGTGCCAACATCTAATGACCAACCTTCAAAGCCCTGGGTGCTTTTTCAGCAGCATTTCTATGTTCTCAGAAAGAAACAACTAAACTATACATCAGGTCATTTTGGCACAATCAGTTCATACAGTGGCACTTTGCTGGCATTTCCTTACAGTTCGCTCTCCACTGGCTCAAAATAAAGTCATCAAGAAAAAACAGAGATGCACGACGAACAAACGCGTGTTTGTATTTGCAGAAAATCGAGTATCGTAATAATGAGATGCCTCTAAAGTTCTGGTGTCATTAAGATCCAGCTGTTGCTGGAGACTAACGTAGTGTTTCCAGTTACACCGTGAAGCTAGTCTTCTCTGAATTCTCTAAAGGAAAGATCCAAACCGTTCACTAATAAATTACAAAGAGTGAAGAAATGAGAACAGGAAGGAGAGAATACTGCGTCTTTCTTTGCCAACATTTGGTGAAGCGTTTGGTGCCGTTCCACTCCAGAAGCACTTTGGTACACATGCTGGTCAACGTCCACGTCCAACAGATTACATACTCATTCAGCTGGACTAGGCTTTCTGCTTGGATTTTAACATCAGTGGGCAGTTTTTTTTTTCCTTTTCACCACAAAGATAAAAAGGCTGTACACTGTAACACATCGACTTAGCATGCATTCTGCTAGACAGAGATAGTGTCATTTGGACAAACCCCCCTCAGTAACAGCAAGATCAGGAGGGAAAAAGTGCCGATTTTCTTTAAACATTCACATAGAAAAGGTCAATATAAGAAAAGCACTCAATTTATCCAGCTTGCCCTTTTTTTGCTCCTCAGGTGGGGTGGGGTGGGGGGGTGCAGGCATTAGGTTTTAGGCTCCATTCGTTTAGAATAGGTGACATCGCTTTAAGGAAAAAGGCAAACACTGGTTCTTCTCCATGAAGGAGCTCCAACAGGCTTTTCCGGGAGGATGAACAAAGATGGCTTCATCTTAACAGTCATCTCAAATGAGGTGGGCCAAACAAACCAAACGTAACTTTTCTAGACAGTGATCACAAAACAGAAGATGATATCAATTGGAAAACATCAGATGAAGAAAAGCGCAACTACACTTCAAAGACGACCAGTTTCCCCCCCTCCTAGGGTACAACATGACCCAGAGGAAACACCGCCGTCCACGATGACTAAACAATAAAGAGATGGTTTCCAAATCAAGTCCCCAGATAACTAAAACAAAGACATGAGTCTGGATGCTAAAACACAAAAAACACATCTGTATTAGCTGGTTTCTTTTGATATGAAATACATTTCAAAGAAAAAAAACAGTTTGAGAGGAAAGGCATTTTCTGAATGAAACACTGGCAGGCATTCAAGATGAGACCACACGAAACTGACGAACGGTTCTTAAGTACTGATTTTTGAGGAGTGTAAAATAAATTCACCCCACAAAGCAGCCCAAAATAAATAGAACAAAAGGGGTTCAGTCTCACAGGTGAACAGGTGTGTGGAGAAGCTAATGCAATATTTATTTCAATTTGACTTGGGTTAAAAAAAAGAAAAGAATGCATTTTGGTGTACAATTTGCATTTTTTTAATCTCAGCATCACATTCCCTTTGTTATCAAAAGCTGGGGACGTCTTTAGAAAATCTCCTGGGAAAGTAGAAAAACTTTCACGTGTGACTCGTTTAGACCTTGTGCACTAAAGGCAGGGCGGGCTGTGGAGAAGAACCGAACCTTCTGGATCCACTCAGAACCTGAGCACAGCAGGCAGCACGGACACGTCCTCAAAGAGAAGTGGCCTCCCGCCTCGCCCCTACCCACTAAACGCTTGTTTGTTCTCCCGTGGTGACATTCCTCCAAGTGGAATCCAGAGTTTTCCCTTTATCTGTCTGGTTTCCAGAGATAACAGGAAAACACAGTCTGCTCTACTCTTAAAGTTGCTGTTGATCGTACTCCGCAATAAGTTTCTTTATATGTGCCAGTTTGTTGTGTAGATATTCACAGCGATTCTTCTCTTGGCTATAGTTGGGATTAGTCTGCAACAGAACAAAGAAAACCCAGTCACACCCTGAAAACCCACTCAGGTACTTTCACATCAAATGAGGTTAAAGTAGCACAACTTGCCTTTTTAATTTTATGATACTCTTGAAGAATCTGATTGTGGATTGTCTGTTGAAGGGAAATAAATGCGGTATTAGTTTAATATTTCCTGGAGTTCCTTTTAAGCATTTCTTGCATGTCTTATTGATTATTTACCTTGTACTTATCTGTGCCTTGTTGCAGCTGTTTCAGCTCGTTTTCGAGCACGGTGAATTGCCCGGTGATTTCCTCTATTCGAGCGCGCAGACTACGGTACTCGATATACTCAGCGTTGAAATCGTTTTTATACTTCTGGCGCTGCTCTGGAGAGCCGATCACTGTGTACTTTCTGCAATTAAACATGAGAACATGTCTTTATTATTTTAACAGTCACAAATGATGTCTAACAGTTTGTAAGGATGGTTCAGATCTTTGAAGAGTGAACAACCTCAGTTTAGAGAAACAATAGCTTTGCCTGGACAGATTAGCTCATTTCTTGCTAAAGTTGTTCAGTTACAGTGTTTCTATAATCTTAAAATGACTTTAAAGAGGCTGCACAGTGGTGCAGTGGTCAGAGCTGTTGCCTTGCAGCAAGAAGGTCCTGGGCCCGCTTCCCGGCCTGGGGTGTTTACATGTTCTCCCTGTGCATGCGTGGGTCCTCACCGGGTGCTCTGGCTTCCTCCCACAGTCTAAAAACATGACTGTTAGGTTGATTGGTCTGTCTAAGTCGGGGGTCGGCAACTCGCGGCTCTGGAGCCGCATGCAGCACTTCCATCCATCTGATGCGGCTCTCTGTGCTTGTAAAATAATGAATGGATATTTAAATAAAAAGCTTTATATTTTACTGCATTAATTTTACATCTGTAAGCTAATTCTAAATGTAAAGATTGTCTCCGTAAACCTGAACAGTTCCAACCCGGTCTTACTGTGAGACCGGGTTGACGCGTCACGCTTGTGCGTAATCATATCGGCGCTTCCTGAGCTGACGAGGATGTGAGATTCTGGGATTCTCCTCAGACGGCTCCTGGAAGCGTCGCCACATTGGAGACAGGAACAAGCACTATTCAGCCAAAGTTTCATAATCAGGGAACATTTTCTAAGTGACAAGTCTCGCTTCAGTCGGAGGAATCTTCCCGCATGCGCTCTGGTTCTGCAATGCGCTCTAAGCCCCTCTCCACATCTTCAGCTCACTGTGGACCTTATGTAGTACACGCTGACAGTGAGCTGCACTGCGCCCAGTGTCCAGCTCAGATGTTCAGATGGGAATCTTTTCTTTAGTGATTTAGCTACATCTGCGATGTGCGTAACGAATAAAATGTCAGTTCGTCTGCATGCGTCGGGGTAATTCTTTCTATCCTTTCTCCGTCAAAATAAACGGTCAAATACGGGAACTGTCCGGTCAACACAAGCCCTGCTTTTAACTGTTATGTTTTCTTGTGAAAATTGTTGCAAATAGATGTAATTAAACTTGATTAACACCAGAGCCAGGCGCACTGCGCCGTTATCTCCGTCACTGTAAATGAGGGAAAAACAAAATGACCGGATCCTTTTCTGACCTTCCCCACCTACAAAGTTTAATTACAACAATCAAACGTGACAGAGCCTGGATTTGTATTCTGAACAGTCTAAACATGTTTTAAAAAGAAACGTATGACAAAAGTGGCACCTGCTCAGTAAAACCACCAACAGGGTGAAAAATATCAAAATATTGTAGGCAGAGACGGGCTACGACTTCTGGATCCACTTTATATAAATCGTTTTATTGATTATCTTCTTATGAAAGATAGCCTTGACGTACACGAGCGACCGGTACTGGCTGCTGTCACCTGTTGTGATTGGTTAAAGCAGCTCTCTGCTGTCTGAGGGTAGGCCCCGCCCACAACGCCGCGGCTGCTGTGGCTCCCAGTGTTTTCTTTACTGTGGGAAACGGGTAATAATGGCTCTTTGATGGGAACAGGTTGCCGACCCCTGGTCTAAATTGTCCTTAGGTGTGAGTGTGTGTGTCTCTGTGTGGCCCTGCGATGGACTGGCACTCTGTCCAGGGTGTACCCTATCTGATTGCCTGCTGGAGACAGGCACCAGCCCCTCGCGACCCTTCATGGACAAGCAGGTTCAGAAAATGGATGGACAGATGGACTTTAAAGTCATAATTTCCCAGCTGTTCATTTTAAAAGGGAGCTAGGCAGTTTTGGCTTGCTTTTAGCACCCTCTAGTGTCAGGTTTTGGTTACGGTTCTTCGAACTATCTCCTTGCTGTGTGTTCATCTTTTTAACACCATAATCTAACAGCATGTCTACCAGCCGTCCTTAGTGTCTACAAGAGTGAGTCATCATTAAATTAAACACATCAGCTGCGTTCATGATTTGAAACATGCAGAAAACGTGCTGGAAGCAGACTGCAGCGCCAGGTATGTCAGCTCCATTTTTTCATTCAAGTCCCAACAGAGCGACCCACCAGTCTGAAGTCGCATGTGGAATATTCTGTCCACAGGGGGCAATAGGGCCAGGTGGCCTTTCAGTGACCCTGTAAAGGGTCATTTTAGCACATACTGGCTCAAAAAAGGATTTAAAAATATGGAAAAGTTGCAAAGTATTCCTGTTACTTAATTAGCTGGAAATTAGCCGAGGAGCTAGCTACCATAGCAAATCTGCCAGAAAAACCTTGAAATGTACATTTATGGCAACATAAAGTTTATAAAATAGCATTTGCACAAGCTGCTACTGTATGTATTTTTGGGATTGTAACTCGTATGCTTCATCAGAACTTCAGTTTCTATGAACTGAACCAAAGAGCCGTCTACAAACCCTAATCTGTCAAAACATCTGAAATATCATTTTACTGGTTTCATCAGTGAAGTGAAATGATGGATTTATTCTTAGCAAATTTGAAGGAGCCACACAACGACTTGTACTTTGACTTAAGTTCACCACAGCTTAATCCTTTCTACCATTTTCTGTTTCTTACCTTCAATAAAATAATTTACTAAAACAATCTCTTCTATTTGGAATTAACATTTACAACATCAAGGCAAACTGAAAACATGCACTGAAGAAAAAAAAAAACCAAGATCGGGTTGGACGATTTGAATCATTTTTCCCACCGCCAATCGTCAGTCCAAAACGATTTGTGCATGCGACGTCATGATTCACAAACTGATTTGCGAACACAGAAGACGCCCAAAAGACAGATTTTTTATGGAAGTGCAGTGTATACGTTTGCTGGAAGATAAATTTAGGGTTTTCTTTTTGTTTAATTTTGTATTTGTAGTTTGGTAGAGCGACGTATAAACGGCTCGTATTAAACACGGTTAGTGTTAAAAAGAAGCCTCGTCTTCGTTTCATGGTATTTTATTTAAGCAACGTGTTTTTCTTCTCAACAAAGGCTACTGGGCTTCTTTCTTTTATGAGTTCGAGTAGGAAACCTCTGCTGTGTTTGGACGCACTCTGAGGAGGCAGCGTTTGCTCTCAGCCAGAGGTCACATGATCCATTTATCCGTCACTTTCATTTTTAAAACAATAATCATTCAATACTGATAATTTCCATTCATTTTCATTAATATTTATTCCAAAAAGGCGGAACAGAGTGCCCCGTTACATTAACAATGTAAATAAATGATTTCACTTAAATTGGGAACATTTCACCTGCTGTGGCCTGAACACACACTCTTCCTGCGCCGCGTAAACGCAAACTGGTCACCTGCAACTCGTGCGTGATCAAACGTCTGTAGGGAGCTAGCTGAAGAGGTTACGAGGTTCTGGATTTTTGCCTCAGACTGACTCACGGCTGTTTAAACGTTGTTCTGGATGGATCCACGCTCCGCCGACACACACAAAGCAGGTGCTTAATAACGAGCGCCACTTCAAAGTTTTAAAATCAGGAAACTTTTCTTCAAATGAAATAACCAGAAGTCTTCCAGACTCTCTGAAAGATCGAGGGTTTCCACTTTCCACTCAACACCGTTGTGTACAATGTTGAGGACGTCGCTCCGAGCCCCTCCTCAGCACGCCCACTGACCGCAGCAAGAGGCGGAGAAGGTGAGAAAATGCTCGGATGTGCTGATGGAGATCTTTTCTCGATTGTTACCTCTGCGATGTTCTCTGTAACGTGTAAAATATTTGTCATTAAACTAACCCACAGGAAAATAAATAAACAAATCACCTCCTGTAAAAAACAACCGAAATGGCTCAACCCATCGCCAATGGTTGATTCATTCTTCCCATCACCCAACCCTGCCCCATGATTTAAGTCTGAATGCTCACATATGACTAAACCCCTGTAAGTCAGATGATGCAGGAGGTGAGTCAGCCCCACCGCTGCAGCCATGGCCACAGTGACACATCTGCAGAAGCCTGGCTGGTCTCGTTTGCCCCGGTGTGTCACCCCTGTGTTTTAAATGGGCAAAAAACTGATATTGCTGCAGCAATATTCTGGTATTCACTCAACTTCTTTAATACTCACAATAAATAGTCGGCCACTTCAGGTGATGATGAAATACTGGTGCTGTTGCACAGTCCATTCAGCTCTGAAACGAAAGCACAGGTAACTTAACATGTTGCCACTGCAGGATTTATGCTTACAAGCCTCTATTATGCAAATAAAAGAATAAATGAATGTAATTAGTCTCCTTTGTGTATTTGTGTCCACTAAAAATGACATCAGCATTTGCAGAAGGCTAATAGCTGAACAGCAGGGGTCTCACTTTAGTCTGAGAAACCCATGAGTCACATGATTCATAACCTATTCACTGAGATGACCAACCCTTTATCCTCACATACCAAGTTGTGTTTTTATTGAGAACATGTCTCATTGGATGCTGTGAGCTGTGTGAGCTTCTCCTACCTGTGCTTTTCAGGGGAATACTGTTTTTGATGTCTCTCGGGCTCATCTCAGAGGCCGCATCAGGCTCCGCAGAGCTCTTCTTCTCGTTTTCCCTCCCTTTCTCCTTTCCTTTGCCCTTCTCCTTGTCTTTATGCTTTTTTGACTTCTTTTTGGATTTGTTGTTAAACGTCGAGGGACTAATAACCTGCGGGCCCTCCAGCACCGTGTGTCCAGAGGAGGAAGTGCTGATGCTGGGTGTAGCGTTTACTGTTGATGCAGAAAGCAGCGAAGGCGGCTGACTGAGCCTTTCGGACAACGCCGTCTCCTGAGAGTCGCAGTCACGTCCGTTGTGGCTCGAGTCATTGCTGACATCTGACAGTGCTTCAAAAGGACGAAGGATGTCCAGCACGGGAAGGGGCTGAGAGCTGGACGTTACGCCGCCATCAGACACCGCCGGGCCAGACTTGGCTCCGCCGCTTTCTCCTCTGCTACTGGAAGAGCTGAGCTTGCCATTCACTGGGACTGTTGCAGCCTTATTGGCAAGATGCGATATCCGAGGCTTTTTGTTGACTAGAGGGTCGATAAAGTCAGCAGCAGGACGTTTCTGCAAGACAAAAGTAAAAAAAAATCTATCAAATAGAGCGCAAGATAATTAATTTCATTTAGAAAAGAGAAATGTGAACAGGTTGGGTCAGAGAAAACAAAACCATACACACACACACACACACACCCTCTGACCAAGCACCTTCTCATAATCCTGAGATTAGAGGCTCTGTCTGACCAGGCTGCTCCGAAGCCTTTGGGAGTGACCGATCCAATCACTTAGTAAAGGTTCATTTACCAGGAGGCGTGAAAAGGTTCAAATTAGAGAAGCTTTGGTGATACCAGCAAGATTAAAACATTTCCCCAACAAGTAACTGTGATCACATTTACCCATTTCATTGTTTTTCCAACTAAACGCTGATTCCTACCCCAACACCTCCCACAATGTTTATCTGATTCCCGGGAAAACGTAAATGGCCTGTATTTGATAAAGCGCCTTCTAGAGTCCTGGAACCCCCCAAGGCGCTTTACAACACAATCAGTCATTCACCCATTCACACACACATTCACACGCTGGTGGGGATGAGCTACAATGTAGCCACAGCTGCCCTGGGGCGTGCTGACAGAGGCGAGGCTGCCGAGCACAGGCGCCACCGGTCCCTCCGACCACCACCAGCAGGCAACGTGGGTTAAGTGTCTTGCCCAAGGATACAACGACAGCAACAGACAGAGCGGGGCTCGAACCTGCAACCTTCCGATTACAGGGCGAGCACTTAACTCTTGTGCCACCGTCGCCCCAGTAGGAGGAAAAGGGGTAAACGAGCAGGAATCCAGGTGAGGATAAGACTTCTCTTAAAGCGTGGTATATCTAGTAAACAACGGCATGATGTTTTAGCTTCTTGTCCTCTGGCGACCAGAGCGCCACTTCCGTATTCCCGCCACGCAGCAATGCGGCACGGTTTCTACGGTCTGTTTGTCCTCATTCTTCAGTCGTTTTTAATATTTTTTTGAAATCTTACTTAATTTTGTTTGTTTTGTGAAGTGCCTCGTGAGTTTTATCTTGAGAGGCACTATATAAAAGATCGTTTTCTTTTTTATTTCTATTAAAGTTAAAAAGCTCGTCTTGGACAACTAATTGATGGAGGATGCATTTTCCTGTGAGAATGCCATTCATCTGAACCTGTTTGTATTGCAACACTCCTTAATTTACTCCCCAAGCACTAAAAGCTGTTCTTTAGCTTTTTTTAAATGGATGAATCAAAATAACAAAATGTGAAGCACACCTGTCTTGTGTGTGTGTTTGTTTTGCTGAGGGGGTGAGGGGACAGTAGCCATCTGAGGTGAAAACAACCTGAAAAGTTCAGCCAGTAACAAAACAGAGCAGGACCACATCCTTCTAATGAAAATATAAACAATCCTGTTTGACAGGAGGTTGCAAAACACCTCTGACAACATTTTCTATGTAATGCAGGTCAACTGGAAACATTAGCTGCCCTTGAAGTCCTGAAATACACTCAGGATGGGAAAATACAGGAAAAACAATGGTTTCAAATAAGAATTTACATAAACCCTGGTAGGAAAGAGCAAAATAATTCAAGAATGCTAAATACATTTTAGCATTTGTACTTTTAGTGCATGAGAGGATATAGAAACTATGACAGGATAAAGTGCCTGGTAATCACTACTAAACCCCAACAGGAACAAGGACCTGTTATCACAACTATGATGGAACAGCTGCTATTGCACAGGAAGCAAAGTGGCGAAGGCAGAAGCAGGAAGTCAGTGAGGGAGCAGAAGGCGTGACTGAACAGCTGAGGGAGAGACTCACCTGGGGGGGAGAGCTGCCAGCCAGCTCTTTAGGAGGATTCTCTGGAGGAGGTGCAGAACTGTTCTGGGCCTGTTTCCTGTTGGAGTTCACACAGAAAAAGATGGGAGATTCAACGTAAGACGTTCTGTAAAATGTTCCTGGGAATGTGGGGACTGTAGTAAAGGTAAGTAACAGGGTTTGTGCTGAAACCCATGGAGAACTTAAGAGGTGATACACTTCAGTTTGAGGGCTTAACTGGACATTTATGATCACAATCTGTGAGTTTTTACCCGAACAAAATAAAAATATGTTTCTGAAGTGATTCATATCCAGAAAGTTTTAAAAAGCCAACAAGATACAAATTAGCATGCTGCCATTTCCACGATGACAAGCAAATTACATGCAAGACAAGTTACAGCTGAGTGGGTCGCCATGACAACTGATGGAGGGGGGGGGGGGGGGGGGGGCACTTGACTGAGCAACACTTTAATTATAAAAGAGGCAAAGTTTCAGTCACCAGATTTGTACAATCTCAACAGTTAAACACTTTTTTTAGACATTTGTGATGTTTGTAATCTTCATCCCTGCTAACAGTTTATTAGCTTGGCAATTATGGCAGCCTGTTCAAGACGAGTGGGACAGCAGCATGACACTCTGCAGTGACAGTGAGAGAGAATATGGTGCTGCAGCTCACTTTGAGAGCAGATGTCATTTAGACAGTTTACCAGCAAGATGATGAAAACATCAACCACACGGCTGTTAGTAGCACCTACACTTTTTTTGGGAATTGTTCACTTTTGCTGTTATTCAGCCAAGAAAATCACAGATTGAACCAAGTAAAGTATCACCCAGCAGCAGCAGCCAAACAGAGCTGTCCATAAAAAACAAGGCGTCCTTATCTCTGCAAGTCAAAACAACTGATCTGGTTTGTGTTTAAAAACACACGCCGACCGTAAAGACATGACCGCCGAGTCCACAAGGATCCACAACAATAAGCGTCATTCTGGCTGATAAGGTGAAAAGTATTTTGCTGATGCAGGGAAAGTGCTGCCGCAGCTGATGACAGTATCAGCAGGGGGCACTTGGACTGACAACGTCTCGTCAAGGCCCCACCCGTGTTAAATAAGGGTGTGTGTGTGTGTATGTTTTCATACATCTGTCATGTGGACACCGTCAGATACACTTGCAGGGACTAGGAGTTAGACGAGGAGGCAGACTGATAGGTCTGAACCTTGGACCAGTGCCACCTTCCACACAGATCAGCATGTGCTGGAACACCGTTGCATCATGTGCGTTCCAGTCATGTTGCTTTGCTGCTCCTGCGTGACTGACTGCACTAACTCCAAACTCTGGAGGAACTGGCAGGAGGGGGGAGCTGGTATTGAGCGGGAGGATCTGGCTGTCAGTCAGCCAATAGATTGATTCAAAAGTAATAAAAATCACACGACTGAGCTCAAAGTGCAGTGAAAAAAATAATAAAAAAGACAAACAGGAAATGGAGCGTGCAGATTTGCACGTGTGTATGAAACAAAAAGAGACGAATGAAGGGATGAATAACAAGAACAGAAATCCATCTAGGTGCTGGAAGCTTTAAGTGAACACTGGGTTTGACAAACTTTCATTAGATAACGTCAGGAATGATTAAACTACCAGGATTTAAAAAAAATGCAAAAACATGGAAGAAATTGTGAAAACACCTCAAAAGCACCGGTGTCAAAAATTTTATAAAGTAAACTGAACATTTTTTATACAGGATTCTGCACCATAATGCACTGCATCGCAACACACACACACACACACACACACACACACACACACACACACACACACACACACACACACACACACACACACACACACACACACACACACACACACACACACACACACACACACACACACACACACACACACACACACACACACACACACACACACACACACACACACACACACGGTACTGCAGGTAAACTTTATCTGCTAAACCTAATAGTGAACGCTGACGTTTGGTCTAAAAAACGGTTTAGTTCTGCAGCAGCAAAGCAGAGACAAAGACACAAACTGAAGAGAAAACTCTGCACTGCTTATATTTGTATTTCAAAATACCAAAGAAAAATAAATAAATAATAAATGAATAAAACTTCCGGGACACAGTATTAAATTCTTATTTACACAAACTATCTAATACTACTAGTTTATTAACTCATACTCAAGTAACACTTATGTAGTTTCAAGTCTCGCTTTCTCTCCCCCTTTGCAAGTTGAGATGACATATTTGCACTTCAGAATAATAAAATATACTGATTCAGGTGTAAATATGCAGAATGATCTAAAACTCCAATGCACTCTGACAGACTTGATGCATCCTTATAGCTGAACGTTCACAAACCTGAACAAAATCCTCTTAAGGAGCTGCTGGTCTCCTTCTGTGTACCCTGGCCAATCCTTCTGAATCTCCTTATACATAAAGTCCTTCAATGTGAAGGTGTTTTCTCTCCCATTCAGGTTGGCAACCTAGAAAAACAGTTGGCATCATTGTTGAGCTAACCGATCCCTTTAGAGACTTTTAGACTGAGTGAAACACTGCTGCTGTGACCTGTTGCAGGTGGCTGTCCAGGGAGTCTTTGTCTGCCTGTGAGACGCCATCCTTCTGCAACCTCAGGATCAGCTCAGGCTTTTTGTAAGGCTTGAGGGCCAGCAGGTGTACGAGGCGCTCGCGGAGAGGCCGGTTCTGCGTCGTGCCTTTCTTTACCGTACTGCTGGAGATGATGACAGGCCGGGACGTCCTCCTTGAGGGGGCGATATCGGTGAGGGCAGGTGCCGGTTTCCGGATCTGCACTTTCTTACCTGGAAGATGACAAACAAAAGAGCATTTAAATAGAGCCAAGGTCTTGATGAAACTGACCCCTTTCTCTAGCTGACCTAAGCTCGTCATCCCACAGTTGCTTATACCATACATTTGCAGTGGTCTCTAGAAGTATTGAAGGCCTTGCAAGTCGTACTCTGGGGTAAAAAAAGCTCTGGTGCATTTGATCCAGGAACTAGAAATTTGCCACATCAGAGGAGAGCTTCAGACAGCAGGAGTTGGAATCTTATTTCCTGATATTTGGACATCTCGCCTTGGATTAGATAAGAGCAACGCAACTCTACCACTGACTCGGTTTGATTTGCAACGTTGATGTTTCATCTCCACAAATAACACAAGCCTGAAGGATTTCTGCTGTGTGGTAAAGTTGCTAATGCTAACGGTTTGCTTCTATTACTCAAGCCGCTCTCTGTCGTTTCCTGGATGCTAAACCAACATCAGCCTTCTCCATCATGAGTCATGATGGGTGAGTCCATGAATGTTAAGTGACAATAGCTGCTTTTAGAAAAAAAAATGCAGCCAATTTTGGTGTCTGTCCTCCACAGTCCCATTGCAGTCTCTGGTGACCTGGCCTCCAGCTCTAACGAAGAGAAGCTCCTTGACCTCAGCATCACTCCAGTTTTTCATCTCGGCTGGTTCCGATTACAAAAGCGAAACTTAAGACCTGCGTTTACTTTCACTTTCAATATAGCTGCTGGCCTGAGCTTGGCAGCAGCTACTACCCATGTGATCACGTCACCACCCTCTGTTGTGCCATGGCGCGATAAGCATTCACAAGTGCGGTGTTGCTGCAATATTACTACTAATCGTGGCGGCACAAATGCCGCAAAATCCCCGCATCGCCATGCCGCATTCAATAAGACATCATGGCAGCAGTATTACACTGATTTGCCTGCATAGTGTGTCTTGTTGAAAAGGACTACTGTGACGTAGATCTGTCAGGCTTTTCAAATCCTAGAGTTTCACCGTCTATTTTTCTATCAGAAGCTAAGGCAGGAGATCGAGGTAGGAGACTATTTTCATTTTCAGCCTGGATGAAACACTCAGAGTGACCGATAATCAGAAATAATAATTTAAAAAAAGTGTTTCAGTCTTCCACACTTCTAAAGCTCCCCGCATGTCCCATTTAGAGAACAGGGTTTCTGCAGGTTTAAGGGAGCCAAATTTAAGACTTTTTAAGACCTTTTTTAAGGCCACTTTGACCAAATTTAAGCTATTTTAAAAATTAAATTTAAGCGATAATTTCCAGCTATTGCCTGGAACCGGTGCTAACCACGTCGCGAACGTGGGATTAGCCATCCAGTTACCATTAAACTTGCACTTCCCCATGGCGCAAGCTCCCACTAGCTTAACCAGCTAATGTGCTTATCTAGAAAAATAGCCCCCTTTCACAACCAACTGACTGCGTACGGTTCCGCTTACGCCAACATCATACACAAAAAATGCTGAACACTAACTAGAAATTCACGAAATTTTTATAGAAATAAAAGAATCTTGTTTATTGGGTCTTTGGTAATTCAAGACCTCTGGAAACTGGATTTAAGGATTATTTGTCATTTTTAAGGACTTTTAAGGCCTTGAATTAGGAAAAGCTAATTTAAGACTTTTTAAGGACCCGCGGATACCCTGGAGAAGCTGTCCCAGAAAACATGACCCCAATCATCTCCAATCATGCTTGTGTGCACGGATCATTTAAATCTGTGGCTGGTAAAGCTGAGAAGAGGTTTTGATGACTCCGATGATGTGCCCTGATGGGATCCTTCTTGTTGCCATATAAACTTCCACTACTTGCTGGTAAATCTAGTTATAGTTTCTAAAATGCTTTTTCTCAGGTCATCAGCATAGGCCTGTGCACACAAACACTGGTATTTAGACAACCGAAGTTTCACCAGTCAGCCACAGCTTCTGGACCGAGAAAATATAATAACTAAATAAAGGTGTTTTAGTTTTTCATCAGTCTGTGAACAAAACACTGTTTGAACTTTGTTTACAGAGTTAATAGATGTGTGGCTCTCTAGCCTGCAGCTCTGACAGGAAGCTTACATTTTATACACCGTTTCCTCTGTGGTTTCGTGAAATTAGGCACAAAGAATAATAATTATGAAGAGCTTATGACTGAAATGCCAAAATTTATCAAATTCAAAAGTCTTTGTTATGGGTGAGGGGTGCTGGCAGCATACTGGCTGTTAGCCGTCTGGCTCTAGACCCAAACAGCCCACCAAGACCAGTGTGAACCCAGTCACCAGCAGAGAAAGGTTACACAAACACATGGACCATTTCAATGTTTGCAGGGCACAGACATGAAGACAATCCTCCAGCTTGTTCTTATCATTCAACTTGACAACTTTATTTGTTCAAGTGGACATTTTTCCTGTTTCTCTGGCACCTCAGCTGTATAACCCAAAGCAAAGGTTTTAAGAGATATTTTGGTCTTTTTGAAGTGTGTTTCTGTGTAAAAGTCTTTAATGATTTCTAGGGGTGAGAATCTTTAGGCTCCTTGTGATTTGTGACAACATGATCATGAAACAATTATAATTGGTTCATTAAAGTACGAGTAATTTAATGACTCAATAGCAAATTAATTCAAATGTAGTGATATCTGGTAAAAAAACCACAAACAAAAACAACCCCAAAAAAGCTATAAAAATGAATAGAATGAAATAAATTGTTGTACACCAGAAGAAATAAAGGCAGAAATTCATTTCTAGCTTAAAACGAGAAGCCTTAATCACATTTTTTCATTTAATGTAATGGTTACATATTTTACATTCATTACATACCTGTTGAGCTACAGTTGGGTTCCAAATATAAGCAAAGCTGCTAGTTTTAATTATCCCTGACAGGAATAAAAGGGTTTAGGATAAAAATTCACTTTTGTGGACTTATGGAGAATAGGCTGAGTTCTTGGAAGCCCTAAGGAGTTACACAGAGCCTGGCCATTATTATAATCCTGAATAGACCATATATTTTAGGGTTAATATCCCTCAACTCACATAACTAAAAGAGCGAGAGGGGAAGAGAGAGGTGCTGGACCTCCTCTCGCATTTTAAATTTCTAGACATCATGTGATTAATTACCATTAACAAAACTGATTTAGAACAACTCAGAATCAATTCTGATTCTGTATGTCCTGTTGGTCCTGAAAAATGACTGTTAACAGTCCGCACCATGATGCATCACAAGACGGATTACATATCCTACCCTGAATACAAACGTACCCGTGGTAAGTTTAAAGTTATGGTAGAGAAAACAGTGATAATATGGCCTCAGCTTAAAACCATGGAGTTCTCGATGTAAGGATTGATGCGCTAACAGCTAGAACAAATCAGCTTAAAACGGCTCCAATATCCAAAATAACATTAACTCATCAACTACCAGCCGTTTCCTGATCAGAAAAGCCTCCCACTGTCAGCGTTTGAGCTTTTCCACTATTTTTTTGAAGAGTCCCAGAACGTTGTGCTCTATGATGATGTCAAGTACCAAAAAAAAAAAAAAAAAAAAAAAAAGTTGACTCACCTCTAACATCAGGAAAAATCAGCGCGTTTCGAGCGTTATCCGTTCTTTCATAATCCATTGTCGAATTGTGCAGAAGCTTTTCCGGTTCGTGCCTCACTTCTTTTATTGGACTCTTAATGGACAAGCTCCACAATATTTATCAGACCTTTTAATCCCTCACTCTTCTGGCCACACTCTACGGTCCTCGGGTCAAAACCATCGACATATATACTGGACAACTCATTTCCATAGGCTGCAATAACACATTTTTGAGGCTAAATGGGACGCCATTTTCACCGTGTCACAGGTTCCGTCAAGCCCAGACAATTCCACAAAAGGGAAGAGAGGTGGAGCTGAGGGTGGGGCTGTAAGGCTGGGATCAACTGACGACACCCGGTCGAACTAGCTACAAGCTAACCTGAAGCTAACCCAAAGCTAACGCGGAGGTGGGAGCTAAGCTAACGGAGATAGCATCCTAGCTACAACCAGAGTTAACTGTGCACAACACCAGAGCTTCTGAGTCAGCGATACACCGGGCTGACCAATGGGTAAAACCGGGTGGAACACAGAGGTCTCCGAGACCTCCACAAGCCGGCAGCCTCACAGGAGACAAGCGCCGCTGCAATCTGAGATGCACAGAGCTGCCGCTGGGGAGAACCGGGTGGAACGGTTTCCATCCCAGAGCTCCACAAGCCCTCAGCCCGCGCAGCAGTCAGGAGCCGCGATCAGACAGAGATGCGCCGAGCTGCGGGGAGGGGAGAACATCGGTTTCCATCCAAAGCTTCACAAGCCGGCAGCCCGCGCAGCGAACAGAAGCTGCGATCAGACAGAGAAGCGCCGAGCTGCGGGGAGAACCAGCCGGCAGCCTGCGCAGCAGACAGAAGCCGCGATCAGACAGGTTCGCCGAGCTGCGGGGAGGGGAGAAACGGGTGGAAAACATCGGTCTCCCGAGAGCTCTACAAGCCGATAGTCGGAACCCAGCTCCACCAACATGTTATATTTCAACCCATTTTCTAAAGTGCAGCATTATGTTAAATGCACTGGGTTTTACCCTATTACATTTAAATTTCATGGTTAAACAGTACATGTTAAAATGTAAGCTCAGCTCGGCAGTGACCTAAAATACATAAATATAATTTTACTTAACGAAAAAAATGAAGTGGAGACTCCTTGGACGGTTTATTATTGCAATTAATGCCACAGCAAGTCATTTTGTCCAACAATTGCATAAAAAAATATCCAAAAAAGAATACACAAACACAGAGACTCAAAATCCCGGAACAGTTTCCAAGCCAGACCGAGGCTCTACTGACGCCTTTCCACTTAGCTAGCTCTGTGGTCACGTTTGTCGGATGCTCATTAACTATACAGAATTTTAGGCTTTTAATACATTATGGAAGTTTGACAGCCAAAACATGTATAGAAATAATAAATTTCTTCTTCATACATTCTCCTGCAATGCCCTGGTCCTGTAGAATGAGCCCTGGCATTTTTACTGTGATTGCCTGTTTTTCTGTAAAATCACAGAAAAAGAGAGATGCTCGGGTCGAGCAGGCTGCTTCATGCGCGTTCACGCTCAGGCATAGCTCGCTTTAGCTCACTTAGTTAGGCGTCGGACTCTCGTGCTGAAGATCCAGGTTCGATTCTTGATGTGCATGTAATTTATGTTGAGTTTACTTTTTACTAGGGATGCACCGATCAGGTTTTTTGCTGCCGATCACCGATACCGATATCAAAGAATGCTGATCACCTATACCGATCACGTGGATTGGCCAGAAATTTTCTACAACGTTACATTGAGTGCTACAAACTACATAATCTGGGAATAAAGGAAATGTAACCTAATCTAAAATGGTCTGTATTAGGGTTGTCACAGTGTGAAAATTTAACCTCACGGTTATTGTGACCAAAATTACCACGGTTTTCGGTATTATCGCGGTATTTTTTTTAAACATGCTACATTTTCACACAATTAAATGAACCTTGTATGTCAGGAAATATTGTCCTCAGTTTGTGTCTAAATTTTGCCTAAAATGTGTTATTTTGTAATTATGTTGTTTATTTGTTTACATTTTTTCCCTTTGGTCTTTAAAATACCAATATTTGCCCAGAACTTCTTTTTTTTTGTCTGTTTGATGTCATCATTTAAAAAAAATTAGATCAGATGATACTCAGTACTCAAGTAGCCTTCTAATCAGATACTTTTTTACCCTTACTTGAGTAATAAAGCCAATATCAGGAAAATATTGTCCTCGGTTTGTGTTCCAGTGAGCTTTGCAGATGTGGGAAAATGTCATCAGGCAGTAATCGTTGTTAAATTAATAATTATTCTCGGAGAGAGACCAACTCTTATCTGCCCCTGGGAGCCCCGTAATGCATAGCGTCATTTCAACATGGGGGTGTCCCCGACACGGTTTATATGCAGGTAGCGGCACTGCGGCTGCTTTATATAGCCACTCGTTGCATTCTCCCTCAACCCAAATCCTCGGATCACGCATTTTAGCTAAAACGCTAACGTTAGCTTGCCTTGCGTTGACTGTAGAGTTGTGGGTGATGGTCACGCAGATGTGTCATGAGATTTGAAGCATTGCTGCCTTTCACAGACACTTTTTCTGCTCGTGCTGCAAAGAGGATAGCCGTCTTCTATAAACTCCCTCGGCATTCTTCAAATATCTAAAACATGTCCGTACTTCTGACTTTGTCTTCTTTGAGGGATAATAAATGTCCTCCTGAGCGCTGCCGTCTCCTCCTTTGACCATTATTTCAGCTTTAGCTTCAAGAAAGTTTTGGTCGTAAACAACAAAGCACGCATGTGCCGCCGGCAACTTCAGCAGATGATACGGTGGCTGGTAAGGGTCACCGCGCCTACACCGCAACCACGGAAAAACCCACCAATATAGTTTTTTTAAAAACAAGACGGTTATTATTATTAACGCTTTCTCGTTAGTCCTCGATTCATGAAGTGGAGATTGCGTGCAGCTGTGCGTATGTTTGATAGATCACAAACCTACTTGGCGTAAGTACTGGGTTTTTTTTTTGCTGAGTTTAAGTAAAGTTTTAGTAAGGATTCTACGCAATGTTTGATAAATGAGACTAGGGCTGCAACAACGAATCAATAAAATCGATGAAAATCGATTATTAAAAGCGTTGGCAACGAATTGAGTCATCGATTCGGGGTGTCCTAACTGTTGCTGTAGGCGTGTTGTGTGAGAGTGCAGTTATATACTGGTTAATGTATTTTTGGGTTCAGTTGCTTTCATGTGGCCTAATGTGAGTCTATTTAAAATGTTAAGTTGTTTGGTGATGTTTCGGAAATGGAATTTGGGATCATTGGAATGATCAGCAGCGTTTCTTGATGTGACTTTATGGCAGTTGCCCAGGGCATCATCACAAGGAGGGCGGCATTCATTTACTTTTGTTTTATTTGGTATTTTCAGTCATTTTTGGTAATAGTGATTAATTTTGATTAATTCACAGCCTATGTTTAATTACATTTAAAAATTAGTCATTTGACATCCCCAGTTATAATAAATGTCTACAGATGATATCAAACAAGACAGATGAGAATTGCCTGAAGCTGTTTAACTTGGACCAAGCATTTTAGGTCACAGATAGGTGTAGTTTAGGGTCTCTGTCTATACACCGTATCCTCCCGTGTTCATCCCCTTCCAAAGTATTCTGAAGGCTTCATTTCTGTTTTTTTCATTTTTTGAAAAATGAGGCAGAAAGAGGTGTTGTCTGGCGAACCGCATGGTACACATGGAAGGGGCTGGGTGGAGTCAACACTTTCTTACTTGCTAAAAGTTCATGTTGTGTCATAATAGGCTGACTTTATTCTTTATGATCTCCAGGGCAAAACAACAAACACTGACCAGCTTATTATTGTCAAACAAATCATGCACACCTCAACAAGCAGCAGTCGTCACAAATAGCAGCTGTGAGACATTTTAGGTGATAGCATGTTGTTTTTCTGCTATTGAACTGTTTTCTAATAATGTTGCGTTTAATAAAGTGAAGGAAGGAGAGAAAAAACGTTTCCCTAGCAGTTTAAAAAATGTCCCCATGTAATCCGATTAATCGATTAATCGTGTCGAGACCCCATCCGATACATCGATTATCCAAATAATCGTTTGTTGCAGCCCTAAATGAGACCCCTGGTGTCCAACTCCAGCAGTAATCAGGCAAGAGGCAGGGACACCCTGGAAAGGTCTCCAGTCCATCACAGGGGCACAGACAGAAACAACCATTCATACTCACACCTAGAGATAATTTAGAGTCTCCAGTAAACCCAACATGCCTGTTTAGGTCTGCAGCAGGAAATGGGAATATTTAGAGAAAACCAACATATGCACAGGGAGAGCATGCCAACTTAGCACAAAGGCAGCAGCCAACTGTGCCACTTTACACCCCAGCTGTTGTTTTTATATTGGTTATTTGAGAAGGAATAGTCAGAAATCCCTGCATGAATCAACTACTGGATGGACTAGACATTTTGCTGCAGCTACCAATGTTTATATTTGTAAATACTATTTACAGGGGCTTTTATGAGTATCAACCAAGATTCTTGAAAGATTGGAGACCTTTTAAGATGCAAGAAGAAAACTATATTGCTGCAAACGCAGACCATTCAGGAACCTGTCTACTACAGGTAGATTTGTAATTATTTAAAAGCTGTACACAAACACACTTCAAATAAGCGCCCTTAAGATTTCAATTATTTTGCTCTTTTGTGGCTGAAAACAATTCCCAATAATCAGCAGTATTCTCTGATTGTAACGTCTCCTCACCTACATATCTTCCTCCGGGCTTGATGACAATAGCTTGTCTGCTGCGAGTCTCCTCTTCAACCTGGGCCATGTTTTCTCTGGCCTTCTGGTAGGAGTCATCAGTGGCTCGAACTGTAATCTTGTCCTGAATGCTGCCCAAACAATCCAGCTGAATACTCCCCTCACTGCCAAGACAAACAGCAGACGCACAAATACAGTCGCAATCAGAAAAGTCCAAGAGTCAATCTTTCATCTGACAGTTTGGTTTAACTAATTTAAACAAAAATGATCATAACAAAATAAATAAATAAAATAATGCAGATTCTAAATCCACAAAAAAAGATAAATAAATTCTCAATATTACTCTTTATGCTTTCATACAGCTGCTGCTGGGCTAAAAAATTTCCAAAACAAAAATAAATAAATCATCTCTTTGGCAGTGACAAACTTTGGTTAAAAGTCACACGTTCTTCGACATTTTCCTTCAAAAATAGTCTTTAAACCACCGAAAGACGTGAAAAATGACCAGTCAAGCTCATTTGTGCAAAAATATGAAAAACTGAGACACGAGCTTTAGCCCGACAGCCATGTCATTATGGTTCACTCATCTCTTTACTTTGTATTCCTGCCAACATGAGATCCAGTAAAACTCCTGTGGGCCCAACTATTATTTTCCCAATTTCCACTTAACTGAGGGTTCCCACGGTACGGCTCGCTGCCGCATCAAATCCCAACTCTCTGGCATTCTTTGATTTCCCTCCATTTTGATGGGGATTTGGCAGAAAATGAGATGGTGCTGACACAGTCGGTGGAAGCTGAACTCTGTTATTTGGGTTTCAGACGGCCACTCATGGATGATTAGGATCCAGACAGATCTGAATGAACTCCACCCGACCCTCTTGTTAAAAATACTTTCAGGAAAAGGGGTCAGTTATCCAAGAGTCCTAAATGTACAAGACACTCGTTGTTGCCCTGATTCTGAATCTATGCCTCAGTAACTGTTGAAACATCTGGTCATATCCACTGGATTAAACATTTTTAAGTCATAATAAAAACTATTCCTATTAACCTACCCGAGGAAAAATGGCAGACTTAGCATTTATAACATTTTGTTTTAATCTGTGTAATAACTCTAGATTAAAAATGAACTTGGAAGAACTGAATACGTCTGAAAGGTGGGTTGTTTTTTCACCTGGTGATGTACTGCTGGATGCAGTCAAAGCTGCCCTGGGGGTTATCTCTGCCCACATTTGACAGCTCAAAAGTAAATGTCTGCAGCTCACTGGAATTTTCTGACCGTGGAATAGAAATCTTCTGTTGAAGACAAGATAAAAAAAGAAAAATAAACAAACAACTAAATCAAAATAAGAGCAGTTCTTGATTTCAACATGTAATCACACAAGTTTTATTGACCTGCATGTTTATAGGTTTAAACCTGTGCACGATACCAACACACCAACTTTTTTTTTGTTTTAACACAGTTGTGATAAAAGTCATTCCTTTATTGTGGCAGAAGAACCAACAGGTAAGTGGCTTTCATGCTTACCTCATCACTACCTCCTTTTCTCTAGGAAATTTTGGTGAAAAGTTCAATTGACCTTTGTCACCTACTTGTTAAATTCCACAAAAACAAGCTGGGGAGTGTTTAAACAGAGCTAATTCCTTGATGGGGATAAACAAAACGTAGATGTTGCGTGTGAGAGAAGAAGCGGAGGAAAAGTGGAACGGCAGTTTTGTAAAGTTAGGTTGAGAAGTAAAAGTTGGGCTGATTTTAAAAAGCATCATGAAAAATAAATACTTTGGTTTCATAATTCACAGCAGAGGTGTGTTTTCAGGTGCGCTCAAGTATGAATTACTCATTCAGTTCTACAGCAGAGCTGGTCTGGACCCCTCTAACCCACCTAAAGTCCCATTCCCACCTGTACCGGGTCGGCCCGGACCGGGTAGCGTAGGCTGTTTACATATCTGGGTGGCCTGGTATTTTTCCGGGCCAACCAAGGCTCATTCTCAGCCCTCTTCTCGAGGGGGTCTGCTTCAGGCCGACCAGGGCCAACACACCCACTGCTGACAGCAAATTCACACCTACCATTAGAGCAAGCCTCTGATTGGTGGGTAGAATCAGCCCACATGGGCTTAAGACAAGGATGTGTGGAAACAACCGGGCCAGGCTGGGGCCGACTGGGGCTACCCGGCCTGGGCCGACCCGGTACAGATGGGAATGGCACATAGGAAGAGGGCTGAAAAACAGTCTTGTTGCACCCTGAAAAAAGGCAGGCCACCAAGATATGTGCAAGCTATGCTATCCGGGCCGGGCCGACCAGGTACAGATGGGAATGGCACATTACGGAACATTACCACATTCAAAAACATTTAGAAAGAAACACAAATTTAATAACAAAAACTGCTCAACTCCTTCCAAAACATACGTTAAAGAACAGAATAAAAAATTTGATGCAAAATATTTTGGCCGAGCGAAATCGCTGTATTATGAAGTCATCGGCTGGCGCAAGACCCGAGCGGATCCGGAAAGTACAGTGCCAGAAACTAGCATCAGTATTGCATTCTCTCGATGGAATTAACTGAAGGACCATCTAAGTCAGAGGCGTCACACTGAGACCACATGCTTTCTGCTCCAGAGGTAACAATTGCCATAATGTTTTATTTTTAACTGGCGACAGTCACGGCAATATGGTGTAAAACTACCCTGAAATGTATGTACTGCCCCCTAGCGGCAGAGAACTACACACTACCACTTAAAGAGTTATTACTTAAAGGAACTTTACGGACTTTTTAATTTTTATGCTCGTGATTGCCCCCTCTGGCCAAAAGAGTAATGGCAGCTTCAATAGTAGGCTCGTGCCCGAGGTGCGCATGCTGTACGTGCACACTCCTTAACGAAAATAACAGCTGAGACAGTCCCCCGTGTGTGGGGTGTGTGGTGTGGTGTGTGTGCGTGCGTGTGCGTGTGTGCGTGTGTGTGTGTGTCCCGAGAACAGAGGACAGGAGAACACGCAGCTAATTAAACAATTTGGTTCTGTACCTTTCTCTTCAGCACAGCCGACAAAGGTTTAAGATGGGTCAGTCGTCCTGCATGCTCAGATCATGCCCTTCCCTTGCTTGAAAAATTGTTCCAAAATTAAAGTTGAACCCACATCTTTTTTATCTGTGAATTCAATGCCGTCCGGCGAGTCTCAAATAAAAATTTGGGCGCCTTACTGTAAAAAATATACCATTAATGTAAAAAGTAAACTCTAAATGAACTAAGTTCACACCCAGAGTCGAACCCAGGTCTTCTACATGGGAGTCAGACATCTTAGTAACATTCACAGTATCTGTAACTTTTATATCCTTGATGACACCTGAAACAACGTCAAACCAAAGAACGGTTCGAAGTGAAAATGGCTACTTTGTTGCTAATTTGCTGGAAATATCTAGAAGAAAGATCTACAGAAAGTAGCTAAGGGTCCTCAGAAATGTAGCTAGGTTCATCACTAGGCGTAAGGATCAGCGACAAAGTCACCGAGTTGGCACCACCTCGATCTCTGCTGCTAAAGCTACGGATAGCAAATGCTACGGGCTATGAGTGAAGCAGCCTGCTCGACCCGAGCAGCTCTCTTTTTCTGTGATTTTACAGAAAAACAGGCAATCACAGTAAAAATGCCAGGGCTCATTCTACAGGACCAGGGCATTGCAGGAGAATGTATGAAGACGACATTTATTATTTCTATTCATGTTTTGGCTGTCCAGTTTCCATAATGCCCCTTTAAGAACAAAAACATTTACATCGTGTTGCGTTTTCCATCTCTGACTGTCTTATCTGTGTGTAGGAAACACTGTTCCCCTCAGATCACCCCATTTTGGAAGGCCACCACTCATGAAACAAATAAATATATTAGGCTTCAACTTGAAAATAATACAGCATAAAATAAAATCTGACATACTTTTACATGGTGACCCAAGAATGTTCTTTAATGAAAGTCTTTCATAATTCAGATAAAACAGCGTGAATCAAAGTCGGCCTCAGTGAAGCAGCTCTGATGAGAGGCTGGTTGATTCTTCTCACAGTCTCCGTCTTCACCTTCCTCTGAGCTCTGCAGCAGCAGCAAGTCATCAAAATCTATTTAGGGAGCTGGATAACGTTGGCACACGCAGTGCATGCCTGGTCCTGCTGCACAGAATGTTATTGTTTATCGTTATCAGTGCAGCTATTGTTATGAGTTTTGTTGGTGGTGTTTACAGCTCTTGTTGGATGCTGGTGTATCAGAAAAAGAGACAGCAGCAGGATGCAGAACAGGAGGAGGGCAAGTCTGCAGAGGCAGAGTGATGCTTGGGGCAATGTTCAGCTGGAAAATAAAAAAACTTTGGGTCTTGGCATTTAGCGCGTACCACCCACTTAAACATTCTTGTAATCAGAACACACAGACTGCTTCATGCAGGGAAATGCACCAAAATTCTGGCATTGAAAGACACTAAAGGAGAACAGATCACAAAAGCAGCATGATAAAGTGTCCTGTAAGTTAATCAATTGAGATTTGAGCCAGTCAGATGACAGAAAAGCAACTTGAGGAGGAAACAAAACCTCTGTTAGTGTAAAAAACAAATGACACAAGCTGTAAGCTAACCATGATTGTGAGATATAAAATATGCAGGTTTTGCAAACAAAGATGATAATAGGTTGATTGTATGAGTCCGGATCAAATGAAGAAGCAGGTCTCAGGATTGTGACTAAGCTGGCTCACCGACTCATGCAGGAGAGGATGACACTGTGATGAAGAGGCTCCAGTCCTCCACACCACATGGCTCAAGTTTTAGCTTAAACACCAGTGTTCAAACCACGGATTTCTTAGAGCACACGGCTTCAATAAAGATGGACCATCTCACACTCGCAAAAATCCAAGCCGACACTCCACGAGAACAGGTTTCCTCTGTATAATTTTAAAATGGTACAAATGATCAGTGTTGGGAACGTTACTTTAAAAAAGTAATTAGTTATAGTTACTGATTACTTTGTCAAAAAAGTAACTCAGTTACTAACTGAGTTACAAGATCATAAAAGTGACTAATTACCAACAAAAGTAACTACTTAGTTACTTTTTTCATTAAAGAATGCAAGAATTACTACAATAGTAAAATATAAATGACTAATGACTGAACATAATAAAATGTATGTCCAAATGTTTTATATAAACCTGAATAATTTAAACAAATACGCACTTAACAGGAGGAACTACTAATAGGAACATTACACTAATCTAGACTATTAAAAGGTCACTGTGTGATATTTTACAAAACCCCAATCAGCTAAAATTTAAAATTGCAAATAGAAACACCTGTAAAGGTTCCCGAGCCTTTAAATCTCAGTCTAGCTAAATTACAGAAATAAATGTAATTTTGCACAGTATTGTAATTTTTCCAGCTTCACATAATTGTGTGTTTTTACTAGCATTTCTGTTGCTGATAATCTAGTAACGGTTAAATAAATAAATAAATAAATATCCTTTAAAATGACACTAGAAGAGGCACAAATCTGATGGAGGACTTAAATGTACTAACTTGGGTCAGACCCAACCACAGAAGAGCTGAAGCTGGGTGGTAAACACACACAGGTAGTTCTAATAACACCTGAGCTCCATGCCGTCTGAGACTGATGCATCAGTGTTACAGCGGGACTAAAGACATGATCAGGAACAGGTTACAGCTGGATGATCTAGGAAGGTAGAAGATCAGGACGTCTGAGCGGTGAACAGGTGAGCGGACCTTCGGGACGTCCCGCTGTCACGCTAAGGGCACAGCTGCAGACCCGCAGATTCGCTGCTGCAGCAACAAGTCTGCGGGGGGTCTGCAGCCGTAGACTATTCATCACGTCTTCCTCGTTCTTCACGGGCCGTGACGCACTTGGATGAAGACATCTACCTCTTTAGCTCCTGATCAGCTGATGATGACAGCTTCAACACACCGCGCTGCTTAACGCACGCATTTTCTTATCAGTAACAGAAACGACGTTTTGTTAAAAGAAGACGTAATTAATTAGTTTGCTCGTTACAGAAAGAAATATTTTTTATTAACGCGGTTATTTTAAACGGAGTTATTCCCGTTGTGTCTACAGAATGCAGAGACTGAGACAGTGAGGGTCTCCGCCCACCCGGCCAATCATCATCGTGTTTGTAAGTGCGTTACCGACACCTCTCTCTCCCTGGCTGCAGCTGAAGTGTGGCGGTCAGAAAGCCTCACGCTGCTGCTCAACGTTCAACAAGCACATAGTAACGCACAACCTTCCATCCCCAGTAACGGTAACGGCGTTGCAACGGCGGGAAAAGTAATTAATTAGATTATTCCGTTACCTATAAAAGAACGCCGTTAGAAACGCCGTTATACTTAAACGGCGTTACTCCCAACACTGCAAATGATTTAATGAAAACATTTTAGCATGCATAAAAAATACGGCTCAACAGATAAGCAGCATCAGCCTGAAGTTTTTGTTTTTGAACGCTAATCTATAACTTAAATCTCCAGTGAGTCGTGGTGGATGGCTGCTTATACTGAGCCAGGATTCTCTGGAGGTTTCTTCCTGTTAAAAGGGAGTTTTCCTCTCCACTGTCGCTTTATGCTTGCTTAGTATGAGGATTGCTGTAAAGTCACTGACGCTAGTCAGTGACTTGATGCAATTTGCTGTGTTCCTTATATAGCAAACTTTATTTCTGATTGGCTTAATGAACTGACCTGAATTGGAATGTTTGTTATGTGAAGTGCCTTGAGACGACTCTTGTCGTGATTTGGCGCTATATAAATAAAATTGAATTGAATTGAATTGAAATAACTGACATGAACTGATTTGAAGATGTAAAAAGGACTACGGTAAATAAATGCTGAGCACTCCATCTGACCTCCCCTGTGCTGCTGCTGGCAAATGAATAATGTAGCTGCAAAATGCTCAGACATCAAATTAACATTCCACCGTCAACTTCCATCTGCCCTTAGGAGAGTCTAAGAAAACAAAGCATGTACGCAACAGTTGGGCCGACAAATTAACAGCCTTACAAGTGGTTTTTAGAAGCTTCAAAAGCAGCAGCCTGGTGGTGTTACTGGTAAACGAAGACTCGACAGAACAAAGGAAAAAAATAGTACAATAAAGATCATTGAGGGAAGAGGAGTTTAAAAAGGTTTTTGATCACATCTTTGCTGTTCAGAAGCTCTCCTTTTCCCTTCCCTCTGCATAACGTCTCAAAACCACCACCTCCTTTCAAGCTGGGATTGTTAAAATGTGCCACACACACACACACACACACACACACACACACACACACACACACACACACACACACACACACACACACACACACACACACACACACACACACACACACACACACACACACACACACACACACACACACACACACACACACACACACACACACACACACACACACACACTTTCCAAGGCCAAAGCAGTGGAAAAACACGCACAAAAAAAGTGATAGCACCAAAAATAGAAGTCAAGTGAGATTGAGGCACGACCCTGACATTTACGAAGCCACCAGGGATCTCAGTCATACAAATAAACAAATAAATAAATAAAAAACCAACAACGCATAGGCTGGAGACTCATGCCACACATGCACACAGCAGCCAAGGGTCTGAAACATCACAGTAAACTTTTTTGAAGATGCCACTTTCACAACAGAAAAACTGAGCAAATAGAGGAAGGAAGCTTGGGCTTGACATTCACTAAAGCACAGCAAAAACTTCTAGTTCCTAAAGCTGCAACGGGGAATCGAAAATAATAAAGTATAGAGGACTATAAAAATCCCTATTAGTCCTAATTTTAGAAAATTCTACACAGTCCTTAAATTGTATCCATCCCATATTTTATTACTTTTACTCTCTGTGCAAACATTGCTAGAAAACGTTAGCAGATGAGTGAAAAAGAGTGAATGAAGAACTGTATCCTGCGACAGCCACACCATCTGTTCTATAATTTAGTCACTTTCACACTTCTGACCAGCATTCTGGTTTGACTAATTTTTCCTTTAAAGAGCTTGCAACATCAATAGCACTTCTCCTGCAGACTGAATACTGAATTAGCCCAAACGTACATGTAAACACCAGCAGTGCGCAAGTTAATAGCATTAAAAGATCTTACGGAGGAGGACATCAAACTAAACTGGTGGCTTTCTTTAACAGGCAGAGTTAAAGTTAATTATCTTCCATTAAAAATAAAAACGAACCTATCAGAACCAACAGTTTGGTCAAACATATTGACATGTGTGACCCCAGCAGGTCCCTGAGGTCCAGTGATCAAAGCCTACTGGTTGTGCAGTGCACCAGGCTAAAGACCAAAACAAAGCAGCAGAAAAGTCACCAGGCTGGCTTTGGTGTGCCCTTCGATAGATTCTTCCTCACTAGCTTCTTGTCATGCTGCCATCTCTACAATTCTGCCTCTCGGGATCTTTTCTTATTTTGATTGTCTTCTTTCTCATTTTTCAGTTTAAGTTTTTCCATTTTCCCATTTTTTTTGTTTTTCAATAATATTTATCCACATCTTTTTTTCTACATAGATGTTTTTACATCTTTTTTCTTTTTGTCCTTGTGAAGCACCTTGTGATTTTTATCTTGAGGCACAATATAAAAACTGTTTACTCTTCTACTTTTAAAAAGGTGTCAAATGCTACATGTGTTGCTTTTAGCTGGAAATCTGCATCAAACCAAGATATCAAAAAGCAGAACTCGAACTAAAACGATTACCCTAACTTTGTAACCCTGAACCTGGTTAAACCGATCATGACAATAAAGGCATCTTGGCATATTGACCCTACAATTGCAGCTACAAGGTTTAGGTTTGACAAGTTTGCAAACAACACTGAAATGGATTTCCTAAATAAAGATGATACATTTGCTGTTCTTTAAACTGGCAACTATTAAAATCGTATTCTTAGGCTTCAATCTTTTGGTCCAATGGATCTAAGGCTGCCTTGGCAGATGATTGGATGATCTGTATTCCTCTTTTATGTTAGCCCTGTTTTCTATAAACTTACCCAAATGTTATGCATAAATAGCCAATTTGCATCTCCAACCATCACCAAATACTTAACTTTCTAAGTTTCTTTGCTCTTCAGTTGAAATCTGCCTTTTTGTTTTAGCTACTCAAATTTGATTATTTAATAACGGACAAACGGTTTTGTCACTGTGCTGACATTTTAAACTTATTTTCTTAAACAAAGTCAAGAGACTGACATTTATAGCAGGGAATTATATAACTAAACCTTGTTTTCATTCTTATTTGTGTACAAATGATACCTGATTTTGGAGGCCCTGTCACCATGTTGACATAAGTGTCGCAAACAGCTTATGATGAACATATTTTGGACATTGATGCAGCGCCAACACAATGTTTGGCCATGGCTAATCACAAAGTGAACCAGTACATGTCAAACCAACCTGATCCATAGAAAAGTAAATAAAACCATAAAAGTCAGGCAGGGCAAGCTCACACAAGCCAACCCCGTCGGTTTTTGTTCTTGTTACTTTATGAGTTGACACAGCACAACTTTCATACATACGTACGGTGGGAACACAAATTTAAGCAGAAACTAAGATAAAGAAAAAAGCTGTTCTCAATTAAGTGCTTTGCTACTTGTCACTCTGTCTACCCGGTCCTTTCACTGGCTTGTTTTTTTTTTTTTGGGAGTAAAGACAAAACAAGAAGAGGCAGGCAGGACAAACTTCATCTTTGCTGTAGAATCAAGTATTGGAACACAAACTCCATCTTATTCTGCTCCATGGGTTTTTCTCCTCATTGATCATTTTTCCGTTCACTATAGGAAAACTGTGTGACTGTTCATCTTTCTTTACAAGATCTAGATTATATTTCCGTAAAATGACCAAAAATGCATCAAAGGCTCAAATATGCCCTGCCCAGTATTGGAGAGAACAGTCTGTATGTCTGAGGAGACTGGTGCATTAAGATTAAATGTCATCAAGGGCTGATGTCTCCACTAAGAGAGGAAACATGAGCATTCTGGCAAGGAAACAATAAAATGATCTTTCCTTCTTCCTTCTATGCCTATAAACTGATTAAGGGACAAGGAAACAGGACAGAACACAGCTAGAAGAGGGTTCGTTTTCACAAACACATTAAAATAATAGTTGTCATGTAACAAAATCAAGGCAGGGCAAAATAATTCAATTTGTGTTGTAAATATCAGGAAAGGATGAAAACAGCCTAAAGAACAGAGTATTTTTAAGGTCAAGTAATGCTTACACTGAAGGAAAACATCTTCGTTTGCACTTTTTAAAAGTCGCATTTAGAAATCCAACTGAAGTGGCAAGCTGGGGAAAGATAAGCTAGTTCAGAACCCGTGTTCTGGTCATGTTTAGCCCCTGCGGGGAGAAATTCTTATAACAGGCGTTACATACCACTCAAATAGCATTTAGTCAACATATACGTTTGCCTGAGATTAATCAGTAATTTTTCCAGAGCAATACTATATAAATTATTTCCCATCAATATGCTTAGGTATCAGTGCAGAGTAAGGTGTGTGTTCTTACCCCTTGGTTGCCATTAAATCTGATAAAGGGCTGTGATGACTGGACCTGGAATGACAAAAACATCATAAGAACAAATTTTACTTCGACAAATTAAAATGTTTAGTTCAGGTAAGATCTGTGTTCTCACAGAATTATATAAAAAACAGAAAAATAAATAAAACCATTAAAACTAGGTGATGGATAGGTAATTATTGAAGCTCGCATTTCAGTCAGAAGCTGTGAACTTTGAACTCAAGATTTTTTTCAAGCCAGAGTATTGTAAAGTGATGCGTGAGGCCATCTGACAGTGGAAGTGACGAATGATTTTTTTGCGGACTAAAGCGAAACGAAAACAAACATTGCCAATAGACTAATTTATGACGAATATTGACCGACATTTTCATTGACAAATAAGACGATAACGGAAATCGACAGAAACGAAAATCCAAACAGAAAATGAAAAAGATGGAACACACTCAGTCGAATAAAAACTAATAAATACACCTGAAAACTATTCCAACATTTCTTCTGCATCATTATAGTAATACTTTTAGAATGTTTACAAATGTCATGTTTACAAATATTACTGCACATTATACAGATTTTTTATTTTATTAATAAAGAGATGCACAATTTCAAACTGTCAAGAGTTCCTTTTGGCATTTTCCAATAATTTCTGTTATTGAAACAATTAGTTTTATTGATCTAAAGTGTGAAAAGTGAACTTTACATATTTTTTACAGTTTCAAGTTGTTAAATTTTTTTTACACAAGTTGAAAATTATTGCATCAGAAAACTTCACTTTTAGTCAACTAAAATAAGACTAAAAGTAAAACAAATTGGACAACTAAACTGTGACTAAAATTAAAAATTTAGTCAAAATATTAAGACTAAATCTAAATTAAAATTTCTTGTCAAAATTAACACTGGATCTGAATGGACACTGATGTGAATATAAAATAGAATAGCTGAAACAAAAAACCTTGAGGTATTTCAAATCCTTAAGTATAACCTTCAGGTGAACAGAAAACTTACAGCAGGAAAATTGTGCATAAGTTGCTGCCAACAAGAGCTTTGTGATGTTACATTTGAGCATTGACATGGCAATGTAAGTGTGTGTGATGGTCACATCACAGGTCAAGTTGTGATGTTGGATTCAATAAAGGACAGGCAGAAGCAGAGTATTTGAGATTTTGTTCTTTTCCATGTTTTATTGGGTATTTGATGCATCAACAACATACTGTGCCACAACTGGTTCAAGCTACAAACGTGAGAATAGGGCATACTTTTTTAACTATTGGCCAATAGTGAAGATTTTGCACCTGCTGAGGGGGGTGACCCTTCACCTGTTGGATTAGGTAAAATGTTGCTCAAAAATGAATAAAAATAAAATAAAATAAATAAATAAGGAGCTCTAAAGCGGATTGTCACCTGAGTGTGTCACATGATCGGGAGGCAGAAAATCCATGTATTAGGAGATCGTTTAGGGATGATGCGGTGAAAAAAGCGAGGCACTAACTGGATAAGCTTCTGCAGCTCACACTTCAACAGATTGTGAAAGAACAGAAAAAGCCACAAAACCTCTGATTCTTCCTGACGTAAGAGGTGAGCCTCTTCTCTCTTTTAATAGTTTTGCTGCTTATAGAGCACAATATTCTTTGACTCTACAAATAAAATAGTAAAAATGCTCAAAAAAGCTGGCAGTGAGGGGATTTCAGATCAGAATACGACTGGCAGTTAATGAGTTAACTGGAACCTTGTGGTTGTAAAAACAGTTTGTGTTCAAGATGGCTCTGTTCTGTCAATGACGAGGATTCAGACGATAATTTGGGCATTTTTTGCATTTCTAAATGGTAAATGGTTTGTATTTATATAGAGCCTTAGGCTATGTTCACACTGCAGGCAAAAGTGCTAAAAATCTGATTTCCCCCCCCCCCCCCCCCCCCCCCACATGCTACCCATAAGTCTGAACTGCACAGATCTGACTATTTCAAATCCGACCCAGGTAACTTTCACATGTGGTACTGATTCCAATACATTTGTGATGTTTTTGAAAGCGAAAGCAATCTGAACGGTTATGTCGCATTAAATCCGCCTTCTACTTCACTGAGTCAGCAGAAGAGAGCGTTGAGTTGAAGCGCTGATCAAAGGATTCGGGAGTCTGGACATCCTGCAAGTTAAGGAATTAACTCGCGGTCTCCGTCTCCGTGAAGGAGAGAGGGGGGCGTCTCCGTGAGAGCGGGAGGTTGTCCGTGACCAAATTTAATACCAGAACATTTTCAGTGAATAATGATTCAGGAAGTCGGCGGGAATAAGGAGTAAAATAGTTTACTGTTTTTAAAACCGTTTCCAGCCTAAAACAGGAGACTTGACAGGTGTGATCCTGAAATTATGGATGAACTGTCAGTGAAGCTCTTCAAAACACAACTCTGCCTCTCCTGGTTTCAACTCCACCGAGAGTGACTTCTTGTTTTCTGCACATGCGGGTCGCCTTGGGGCCGTGGAGCGTTCACACTGGAGAGAGTTTGATGTCGCATTTCAGTCATAGTGTGAACAGCCACACAAAACGCACCAGAATTGAGCATCACGGCCAGCAGTGTGAACATAGCCTTACAACTTTCCAAGGCACATTACAACACACCACTCACCCACCCATTCACATGCTGGTGGTGATAAACTACAATGTAGCCACAGCTGTCCTGGGGCAAACTGACAGGTGCGAGGCTGCCGCAGGCAGGCACCACCGGTCCCTCCAACCACCTGCAGCAGACGAAGTGAGTGAAGTGTCTTGCCCAAGAACACGACTTGATCAGACTGAGACTGCAAACCTGCAACCCTCCCGTTACACATTTAAATGGAATGCTTCTTTTTTCAATGTTTAAGATTAGCGTTGTTGAACTGGTGCTATAGAAAAGTGAGTTAACTTTAAATAAAAGTTTTTCTTAAAGCTGCTGAATCTTGAGTTCTTAAATTTCACAATAAGTCCAAACAAATTAAGAGATGTAGTGTTTATTTTTAAATAGTCTGGTTTAAAACATAAAGAGGTCCCTGTAGGGCAATTTCTACTTATAGTATTTCCAACAGTTCCTTTTTTGGTATATTGGAGAAAATTTCAGGGAGGTTTCTGGCGAGCCAATCGCAAGGCACTGCATTTTGATCTAAAGAGTCTATATATACACAGGCTGTGCTGGAGACATGAGCAAATGAGGACACCACAGACTCCGTTTGGTTTCAACTCGGAGAACAACATTCCATACTGTGTTTACACCCACACACAAGTTCCAAAGAAAGCTATTACTGAACCAAGATGGTGAAGCATTAATACTGGAGTCATATCAGGACTTTTTGGGCATTTTCACATGTGTAATTCAGATGCTCTGGTTCAAATCAGTACACAAGTTTGATTCTTTTGCATTTGTGGTTCAATTTCCTTTTACAAAGACAAGCCTAAACTAAACAATGTATCATTACAAACCACCTGAGAATGTTCAGCCTGCAGACTGGTCAGCTTGTCTGGGGGTGGGACAACCAGGAGTAAATGCAGTGGTATGTTCTGAGCCTGAGTTGGTAGACAACAGTCTAATCTCCTCTTCCTGAGCGGTTCATGAACTATTTGAACTGTATGAGTCAAACCAAGTCACGTGTGCAAACAGGGAGCCTAAGTCATGTCTATGTACTTCCAGACCATGGGTCCTTGGAAGAAAAAAAAAATGAATGCAAGTTGATGACGCTTTAACACTAGAGCTCCCAAGGCAGACATTTTGACCTGGCTTTCTGGCTTTTCCTATGTTTATGTGTCCTGTTTTTGTCTTCATCTCACACAAAACGCCAATTTGACGGCTCTACATGGTAGTTTTTCCGCGGATGACAAACAGCATCATCGTTGCCAAGCAACCAACTTTCTAGCTTCCCGTGCGCTCACTCTCTGTTCATACTCCATGAGAAATAGTGGCTAAAACAGCTTTTAGAAAAACATTCTCAGTGAAACAAGTATGAGAAATAAAGCTGCTTCAGGCCGAGGGGAAAGCTGATGAAAACTGGTCAGTAGGAAGCTGCAGAGACTGACAGCAATGCGGAATACGAGCTGGGATCCCTCGCCCCCACCCACGGAAAGGATCCGTGTCGGTCACCCAGCGAACAATAGAGGCTTCTTGTCAAGGTTTGGATTAAAATTATATTTTTCTATCATATTATTAGATTCACACTTCCATAAAGAGTTAAATAACATACTTGAACCATTTTGCTTCACAACATCATAGTCAGCCTGCATTTAATGGCCAAAATGACAGCTGTGAAACTGACGGTTACTAGGGGTTCTAGTGTTAAAAGTCATTTTGTTATCCAGTTTGTAATGTACCATAGATTTTACATGTGATGTGAATTTTAAAGACCCATTCAGATTCCAAAAATACGTATTTTCGAATGGGGGAAAAGGTTATTTTAAGTTTTGTGTGAAAATATGTCCAGGACTACAAATGGGTTTCATTATATTAGCGTCATCAAATCAGACTCGGAGAAAAGCAGAGAGAAAATGGCTGTAAGTTCAGCAAACTTCAAATCCTTCCTTCAGGAGGAAAGAGCCACCATAAATCTTGACATGTGGTAATAGGAGCTATAGGGCAGAGGAGATTATGAGGTGATATCATATACGTGACATGCCATGTCTAATTTATAGTCATAGGAATTACGAATACTTACAAGCTGATAGATCTTAAATTAAGTGACCGGTCAAAACACACATTACTTTTTTGTTCTTCCGGTGACCCATGAGCCAACTGGAAAGGGAGGAGACTTAGGCTCCCTGTAGCAGTGAGTGCATCTTGTTGATTAGTTCATATTCGGATAACTACTTAGCAGCGGCTGACATTTCTGTGCATCTCAGAATGGAATGCACACCTAGCTGCAGTCGGACATTTGGCTAAGCAGTGTGCATTTAGTCATTGTGTCGGATAGAGGTCAGAGGTCAGATTACGGCACAGTTCTTGTTACACACCCTGGTGCCGCTACCATGTTTACACCTGTCTATACTAACAGCACCAGTAGAGAATACTGACTGGGGTTTGATT